CTAAACCTTGTCTATGGACAATGTGAAATGTAACGTTGCAAATTAACATTGTTATAGTTTATCATAGTTTTTTTTTTTTAGTTTGAATAATTAATTACAAAGAGTATATATAGGGGAGACCGAGGAGATTTGAAACAAAGGTGAGTTGAAACAGTACCAATTTCTCGGAACTTAAAACCGTTAGCGGGTTAGCAACTTCGCCTTATAACTATTTTTCTCCGTCCGTCGTAGTGGGAGTTCACGTCGGAGGTGTGCCTCGCGCGGTTGTGGAGTTCTGTCAGCCGTATGTCAAAAATCGTGAAAAGTAAGTTTTTTAGGCTTTGTTATGATGTTTATATTTTTATATAGGTTTTGTATTTTGATTTAAGTTATATGTGTTTCGAAAGCTCTTTAACTAAAGATTCATTGTATATGTTTGGTACAGTTGATTTCTATGTATTTGCTTCTTCATTGTAGATTAAATAAAAATGAGAGGTTTTATTTCTACTGAGGAGATTTGAAACAGACTGTTTCAACTCTCCTCGGTCTCCTCTACATAGATAACATGAGATATTGGAAAATGGCTGCAAAGCAGACAAATGCCACAGCATACACTTCACGAATGTTGCACACAGCGTGACGGGTAGTAACGCTCCTAATTAATGTCTATGATAACTTAATTTATTTATTTTGTTTTAGAATGCCAACTTATTATAAAAAAAAGACTGACAGGGGTTTGGCAAGTCGCATTATATATGATCTCGCAGCAGAAGAAGTAATTTTGCGCCAGAAAAGTCTCCGTGACGCGGTTTCGAGTTATAATCTGAACCATACATCTCTCTGCAGGTATATTAAAAAAAATGCTTATGAAGGCAACGAAACGGCAACTGCTCCTAGAGTTGGATATCCTGAAAAGACTGTTTTTACAGCTTCAGAGGAGAAGGCAATCTTTTAAACTGCGCTGCTGTTAACTTTCGCCTAAGAACTAAAGAAGCCAGAACTTTTGCCTATAAATTGGCTGTAAATATAATATATAAAAAATATAATAAAAAAATCCCTTCTGCTTGGACTGCTCATGAAATGGCTGGAAATGTTTGGCTTCGATCATTTATGAAAGGGCATCCTGTTCTTTCACCTAGACTACCTCAACCTACAACTATCGCTCGAGCTACAAGTTTAGCAGATCAAATGAACAACTTTTTTTCCAAAATTATACTACAGGGTTACAAGGGAAGGATATATGGAAAGTTGATGAATAAGGTATCACAACAGTTCAGAAACCAGACCGCATCATTGTAATACTCAAGAAATTACTGAAAATTAATAACTATTGTATGTTAAAGATTGTGGAAGATCCTTGTTATTTAAGTTGAAGGTGTAATTAACTCATTTAAGAGTTAAATATATTTATGAGACCTGTAGTTACATACTTGACTGATATATCAGTACAAAATCCTTATATGAAAAGTTGTTACATACTAAAAAAGTTTTATTTGAATAAATACCTTGAAATTATATAATCATTTTTATTTTACATCCCTTAATGCTTCTCAAAAATCATATGTTTCAACTCTCCTCGTCCCCTGTTTCATCTTACCTCGGTATGAGGAGAGTTGAAACAAATTGACTTGTTACGGTTAAGTCGATGTCTACCACAATATTTAACGTTTACAACTACTTTACGTTAGTCATTCGCATGTAAATAATTACCTTTCGATTGGTACTAATATCATACGATTTCTGTGTATAGTATTTGATGTATGAAATAAAATGTCAAAATTGTTTCAACTCTCCTCGGTCTCCCCTATGATATTTATTTACAATAAAAACAAATGATCACATACGTTGAATCTAAATCATATTCGTGATAAATGACTGAGACCTTTTTTATATGTTGTTCTGCGGGCTACCTTATCAAATGTATAATACTTATAATTCCAGCTTACTGCATTTCATAATGTAAGGTCTTTGCGAATCATTAGAGTCCCTTTTTTGTCTTTAATTCTTTAAGACTGGAGAAATTTTATTGGGTATGAAGTGGCATTTTCAAGTGTATGAAGCGCGAGATATGTTTTGTTGTGTGCCCAGTGTATTTATTGTGAACCCAACTTTAATTTCACAATTACTTAGGAAAAACGCCAAATAAAGTGCATAATGTGATCACAACAGTAAATCCACATAATATAATTTTACTTATTGATATAACAACAGGCCTTTAAAACATTATCATACGAAGTATGTATATCTCATTCATATTTATTAATAAAAAGAAAATGCTTTGATGCAGGAAGTTTGGTATTAAATAGGAACATATTTTATAAACTAGTTAATATTTGCCATCTGTATAACAGTACAGTAATTACTATAATAACAGTAAATTAAACTCGAAAATTTGCCATTTATTTAAGAGCCAATTTAAACCATTTGATCTAGCCAATTTGCAAAACACTGTAAATTGATAATAGCACAAAACAACATATACCTTTGTTTTTTGTAACTTAACAAATTCTTAAAGTTGGAACACTGTTTGATACTTTATCCTACGATAACTCAAGCAATTTTAGTGAACAAATATCAAATAGTATAGATCTATTAATCGACAGAATATAAAATATGACGCAAACGAAAGTTCATTTATTTTTGTATTGTAAAATATTTTCACTCTAAACACTGCATACATTTTTCCAAGCATCGTGTTTACCTATAATTACTTAGTTAACATACAAAATAAACCCATTAATGAATATGTTCATAAGCAAAATGGACTCGTTCATACAACATGTGTCAATAAAATGTATTGTTGTGTCAATTTGAAACTAAACGACTAGCATCGTAATACTTTCATCATCGATAAAAAATAATTAATAAATAATATTATTTTAATTGAACGAGGTCGTATTGTAAACTTATTTTAAAAAATCGCTTAATTCATACTTAATACATACTGTTATATCCCATTAACATCATTTCTCAGGCCAAGAGACGAATATTCTATTTTAAAAGTATAGAAGACCACAGACTATGTGAATAATGTAAGATGACTCGATTAAAGATAATGACAAAAATCTATTGACATCAAAACACCGATTTCTGTTCTATTCAGAAACACGAGTATACTTTTAGTAAATTATGCTACAATATTACACTTCAGGATATTCTATAAATTCTATGTTTGGCCTAAGTAGTTTTAAAATAGAATCTCGTGAAGTAATACTAGATCACAGTCTATGTAAATAATACATTTAATAATTAGAATTAAAGTTTACCTACAGTTTACAAGAAATCGTATTGCCGTCACTTAACGGCAAAGATTAAAATACTACAACCTAATTTCATCTAATAAGTTCGTTTGACTGACCAAGACTACTTTTTCAAAATATCCTTTACACCTCTCTCGTAACGTCACGCGTTTCACATTTTCAATGCATCAATCAATGGTGTTTATAATCGCTTTATAACAGGTCAACCAATTAGATTCCTGGTGTGATGTTTAGAACTTACTTTTAAAGGCTGAGCATAAAAAATGAAGACATAAGACAATTCGAATCTATTTCTAGATATAAACAAAAAATATATTATACATTAAATTTCAAAGCATTACGGTAAGTCGGCTATATAGTGACTCAGATATTCATCAATTTTCATTACGGTAATAAAAAATTACGTGAAGGAATTAAGGTAAGTTTTTTTTTTTCCGTCGGGAAATTATCGTCGGGCTCTTTCAATGCCCAACCCAATATGTTGATGTGGTTTTGTTATTTTCAATCACAGCTTATTTGGGTGTTATTCCTTTATACAAAAGCAATTGAAAGTTATATGTGAATATCTTCGGGACGACGATAAATCTGGTATCTTACTCTTAAAACCAATTTTAACAATCGTGAACTTTATCTTCTCTTTCTTACTCTATGTACGACAATAAATTAATTCTAGAGTAAGACAAATGACGATTAAGTCCAAGATATATGGAATGTCGACTTAAATCCTCCTTCCTACTGACATCATAATAAGCTATCAGTTAAAGAGTATCCAAATTGGTTGACAGCAACTCACGAGTCTTGTCACAGTAATTCTGCACAGTCTAAACGATTTCAATAACAGTACTAGCTAATACAAAAGTGTCTTAGATTAAAAATTTACACATAGTCTGAAAAACTGGTTACTGGTCAGAGCTGAAGAATTAATCGATCGATTTGGACGGCTTCACTCGGTCCAGTTTCTCAACCTTTTCAGTGCTGCTCTGACTGCTCCTGCAATTGGAAATTGACCTTTGAGAATCTGTTATCTGACTGATAAAAAGGTTGACTTGCAATATAGCGTTGCAGTCTTTCAAATACCCGGTTTGATGTCTTTTGAATCTGTTGTCAATATAGGAAACATTATACCTGTATTTTGTGATGACTCTAAAATGGGGTTTCTAGGATTGTATATTATAACGCTTTAATTTTTGAAAGGAACCACGAAATCTTGATGTCGTAGTGAAATTAATTATGAATGTGGTGAGAATTCAACCAAAAATATTTTTCCTTGTCACTTGAGAAAATTAGTTGTATAACTTTAAACTACATTACAGCAGCCAATTCAATAGAAAATGGAAACGTCCACGACATCCGGTTTTTTTTTTAAATTGTAAGTTTTAACACAACACTGAGAAGTAATATACAGTAGCTCCATGGAATGACGTCATCCACACACATTGGATTCTCTTGCTCATATAATGCATACGGTCGGTGCGGTAGGTACGGCACGAGTAATAGAGTGTTGTGCAAATTCATACAAAGCTATGTAAAATCCGTTGCGTAACTTGCGTCCGTTGCGTGAGTGGACAAGGTGGACGTTCATCTTTACAGTAAATTCTACTTAATAAGAGTTCGTATCTAGCAAATTTCACTAGGTAACACTCAAATGTCACAACAAGATGTCATACAAAGGTCATAAATTTTTCTATCTTATTTTTTTAAGAAAAATAGTTCTTTTACCAGTTGAAACTTAGTCGTCACAACATTCGACAGAGGCGATCTTTATGCTTCGTCTTGCTCTGTGTCTCGACGGCTGCCTTGTGATTGGTGTCCGTCGCGATTGTCTCCCTCTTCGTTATCCCCTTCTCTCTCTCGCCGTCGCGTTGACTGCTTGGTACCACGTAGAGGGATCTGCAGTAGACTTTGGTTTCACATTGATTTTAACAACTGCTATTGAATAATACATTGAAGTTATGGTTAGTATTTAATGGTCATGATATAGATGAAACTTATTTGAGCTTCTTGATTATTAGATATTGCTGTTAATTACAAAAATATATGCTAGAGAAAGTATGATGTGCAAATGTTTCGAAAATTGTGTTACCTACGTTATTTTTAATACCAAATCCCAAATCTTTGTGCCCAATCCCCAAAACGAAGCGACAAAGAGAAATTATTACCTAAAAATAATTTTACTATAACTTGCTTACTTCGAATAAAAAAAACTTAGAATACATCAGCTGCTTTTCATCCTGTATAAATCGTGAAAGTTGAATGAAGGAATGAGCTTCGAACTGGTATATTATAAACAGCCCGCGGCGCGTGTCGCCACGTGTGGATAATTAATTAGTTACACAGATTTTACATGGTACATTTTATATATAAAATCCGCTCTGTGTAACAACAAACTGATCACTAATGTAATCTTGATGATGATGAGTAACAAAATCAGTAATACTACACAATCTGATATGTTAGTGTGCATTGAATTTTAAAAGGAAAAGTCACAATCATCAGACATAATGTCAAGTGATGTAGAATAATGGAATTGTCCTAATTATAATCTCTGGGTATATTGGTTTCAGATACCCGTAACAGAAAGTATTTACCTACTTAGCTAATACATCATCCAATATTTACTTAAAATGTCATTCAAATTACCTGGTAAGTTTGCTTCTAGCTTGTCTAGAAGTGAAGTTCCCACTCTTGCCCCTTCTCAACGAATTGAAGGATGTCTTGATGGGTTTCACAAGTGCCATGCTACTGCTTTCGGGAATAGGTTTTGCACAGTTTAAAGTTGTCACTGTCAACTCTACATCTTTTATGGCCTCGTTGGATGCTGGAGCAAAAGTTGAAGTAATATTTATAACTAGTCTGTTTATTATTTATCTGAAGTTAAGCAATTTTCGTAAGGGTCGGTTATAAGTTGGGTGACCAAAACATATATTTATTTATTTATTTGTTATTACAAGCTTATCGCTATTATTACAGGTAATCCCAATAGAACAGCGTAGCCACATTATCTAAATACAATTATACTTAATCCCCATCACTATAACATAACACAAATTGAGCTACTTTAGTGAATTCACACAGGGTACAAACAAAAAGATCGATTTCTAGAGATACCTTATTCAGAATCCGTATAGCTCGCGTCAGTGGGGCTTCATTTAGCAGGTTTGTCCTCCCGTGAGGCACTGCAAATAACTTTGGTTGACGCCGTCGCTCCACATATATTATCCCGTCGGCATGCTATGCCGTTGGTCAAGGCTGCATATATAGTCGTTTACACCCACAAATTCGCACTGATCCGCGTGGTTGGCCACGGTGGCAGGAAACAAAGTCACTAGTGCACGCGTAGGCTAACATCATCTTTTTTTTTAACATCACTTACCAGTGAATTCTTCGATAGGCTTATCAATAGTGTCATGGTCAATCCAAGTGAGGCCCATTTCCACCTTTTCAGCCAAATCTTGCCATCGCTGCCTGTTTTCCATGGTGCCAGTGTACAGAGGTTGGATCCATGGAAATGTGTCTGATAAAACTTTATACAGTGGCAAACAGATCATGTCTATGAAGCCAACCTGCATTTGGGGTAATTCGTCTTTCTTTTCCCTGTAGATGAAAATTATATGTTGAGTAAAGTAAGGGATTTGAGTAATTAAGAGTGATTATATTCCTTATTTATGAAATATCATGATCATATAATTATATTATAATAAACATTACATTTATCAGGACATGGCCGATAATATAACTGAATTATTATTTTTCTTAACCATCAAATTGATATCCCTGCTGTTGTTGTATAGGCAAAATCAATTACGAAATCGATATTTTATCAGCTGTTTATTACTATATGTATCTACCAGTAAATAACAGAATATGTCACGTCGAATATAAAAACTAAAGCAAGAGATTATAGGAACATTTTTAAACTCTGTATTATTAGGTAGGTACTATACATTGAAGTCTTCTAGAAGTAAAGAAACAAGTTTACGAACCTATCCATCATGGCTATTGGCTGTTGATTTAACTGTAATTTCTCAAGGTCTCCCTGGTCAAAGAACTCGTCGGCCACCAACTTCGCTACTTTATGCTGGACCTCCCATGGCTTAGCGATAGCGGATACGTCACATGCCGTCATCATCATACCACAAAGTACTAAAAATGAAAAAAATATTAAGAGTTTATTAATTTTTCTTATATCATACTATAGCTTTCAAAATTGAAATAATCACTATCTTTTCAATATGTGTCTTTTATATATTCCCGTTCTAACGCAGGCAAATCTTTACTATTTTTCTCTTTTGGAAAATAATGTTATGTTATTTTTTATTCAACGATAGATACTTAGATAACATAAAAAAATAAGTCCTTAATTCTGAATGTATATGATGTGGCGTATTGATATAGAAGTAAAGGATTGTTGCTAACTCTCAATAAAGTTACTCAAGTCTGCAAACTAATTTAAGAGCAATATTTCTATTCTAGAATTAGTATATAGTAGATAAATAGATCCATACATTCTTTCTTCTCTTGACTCTGCCAATCAAACTCTCCATTGTCAACGAGTTCCAGAAATTTTGATTTCTTCTTAAAATACATAGCGAGATCTGTAGAGAGAATCGCCGTTTCAACTACCCTCATTACATCTTTGTAGTCATCCGGAGATAAAGCCTGAAATAAAGTAAAACTTCATAAGATCCTGTTATCTTTTTCTATAAATAAATCGAGGTCTTTGTCATATAACGTTTTAATGTCGTGTTAGACTGTTTTGAAAATGACTTAAATTATTATAAATTATTCAGGGTCCTGTCCTCATTAGACTAATTTTTGGCCCCTAATTTAATGACCTTAGAAATTTAGTTAGCCTCCGCATCGCTGACCGTACAAGTTGACCATTAAATGTATACATTGTATAAAATCCACTACTGTAATGTAATAATGTTATAACTTACTACCCTTAAATAGTAAGTTATAACATTATTATGTCATGCGTTTGTCGGGAGTGGAGGCCTGATGACCTTTAATACAGGTATTCTTCTGATTATCTAACTTAGGCATCAGTCTCACACCAGAATCTCAAGAACAACTGCGTTTATAACTTAATAGCATGTAAGACACTATTCTGTGTGATGAGAAAATAATTTTTTATTATTATTATTGCGCTATCCAGTTCCCCAAATCCATAAAGCACGATACAGAAGCCTTGAATATAATACTTTTTTCCTTATAAAACCTTTATTAACTTTATGGTAGTTTGAACTGTAGTTCGTATTACCAAGGTATTAGGTTCAAAATTCTCACCTGGAATATGTTATTACTCTCACTGTTCAATATCATAACACACTGGTCGAAATGATGATGCTCCATTGTTGAAGTACTGTACAATATTGCTAAGGGACTCTCCGTCTTAGTCTGGAATGCATTATTTGTCCCTCTATGGTCTAAATCGTGGCATAAACAAGCTACCAAAAGCCCTAAAATCTCTAAATCTGACATGAATCTCTCCATTTTGCCCGTTTTGAGCATAGCGAACATTGTCTGGGCTACGTTTAAGGCATGCCTCCAGTTATGATATTTTACCGGACGATAGTTCTTTTTCACGCTGAGAATCCACCTGCAGAGGACCTGTAAATGTAAACGGATACATAATCTGGTTTCTTGGGTTCGAAAATATTACTGTACATTTGTTTGTCATTTTGTTTTCTATACCGACACACATAATTAAAATTGTGATCGGGCTTGTGTTCTATGCGTCTAATATTCCATTTAGGTAAAGCTTAGGGTTTTAACATAAACCTGTATATTTGAACCCTATATTATAGAGTTCAAATTGACCAAGGACATGATACACCAAGCCGTAGGATAAGCGAATATACGTTTATCAAATATTTATTATAGGTATAAGTTTCCTTTATACTTCGGAAAGTACGTTAAACTTTCAATCTCAGTTGAATCTGCATCCAGCCTATATGAAAATACCTCTGTAGTAAGAAGAAAGGAGGTTTTAATATAAACTCGTGTTTAGTTTCGATATTAAGAAGATGCTAGTCATGGTTGATGTATTTTGGTGTGTATATATAGAAATACTTGATTTTAATAAAAATATAAGAACTTATTACATCATACGGTATGTGGAATTTCTCTACTAGGTTGCACTGTAGAAACATACGAAGTGTAGCTCTGCATGTGTCTTCGTCAGATAAATCAAAGTCTGGAAAAAGAACCACGTTTGTATTCCCATAGATAATGAATAAATTGGTAAGTAAACCCGCCATGAACATCAAGTCACAGTTGCTATTCATCTACTTTTTGTTTTTTTTTTTTGATTTATACAAATGCAGACTAAAAAAAAAATGTTTCATTATAAATCTGCGATAAACGGGCAATTTAAATATTTACCATGGAACTGAAAACTGTACAGGTTATAAGTCTCCGCTGAAGGTATAATATCTTGACACAGTTTACTTGTGTCTTCAGTTGATGCAGTGGCATGGTAAGATAAGCACTCTAACGCCACCTAGAAACAACATAGAGTTAATTAAAATAATTTTAGACAGCTTGACCGATTCGACCGATTAGTCACCGATCCGGTGCAATATCAAGCCCCTTGATAGGGTCACTAAAGTAATCACTAATGTACGATTACAACCGGGCCCCGGTGTAACGTATGGGGAGCATTTTTCACTGTGCCAATGGAAATTCAGACTTTTTCTTCACTATTGGTAAAGTCCATATGCTCAGGTTTCAGCAGACGTAACCGTCAGGCGGACGCTGTCACTGCATTCTGCCGCCGCCTAGTTGGTGATCATATATAACAATATGTTGAGGCTCGTGTTTTGAAATGGTTATCGATCTTGAAATTTTGTTAAAATCTGCTTTTGTCACCGTTGTAATAAGTAGACAAACAGTATTTTTAAATAAAAAGAGCTAACCTTTTGCTTAGCCATCAACTTGCAAGCGTTCTCATACATTTGCGTATTATGTATTCCGAGTCCACAGAATATAGCGAATGCTTCAAATATCGAAATGTCTCCGTCTGTGAACTGACTGCCATTTTCCTGAAATTATGAATGAAAACTATATTATATTCCTGGGATTCTAGTAAGGTGCATTATAATAGTTAAATATCGTCTAAACAAAACTATTTTCCCTATCTATTCTAAATAATTGTTATACCGACCTTATTGATCAACTGCGCCACACCAATAACGTCTTTATTTGCATTAACAATAGGCATACAAAGCATTGTCCTTACTCCAGCTGCATCATCAGTGGTAGCGTCTGTTACAGACATACCATTCTCTTTTCTCCATTCTTCCAAATCAGATATGTTGAGGGCTTTATTTGATTGTGCTACCTGGAAAGTTTAAAGAAGTTTTTCTTAAAATGGGCATGTCAAAAGTTGAGAACTCTTATCACTGCTGAAGAAAGTTTTAGAAGTAACAAAATAATCAAACTTGATTGACAAGTGTTTAGGTTAATATTCAAAGTAAGGCAAAGGTAGGTATGGTATATAAACCAGCCTTGTTTAACTTTTGATAGTAAATGAATTGCTGCAACCTACTCAAATTCTCCTAGGCAACGTTAATAAATAATTTTTTATAACGTTTGATTGAAGAAATTTGAACAGTTTTATCTAGTTTATAGTAATATTCTATTACGAAAACGTCTCGAATTTTTAAGTTCAATGAAATAGGTTCCTTTCAAAAGGTAACAAAGATTTTATTTCTTTGAAGCCCTATGATGACAGTACTGCGCTTGACGAAGATTGTTAAGCTTTTAAGTGAATAGTTCATGCTGATCAGGTAATAGTACCACCAATTAAATAGTTAATCCTTACCTTTAATGCAATACTAGCCAAAGTCGATCTATAATCGTGTCTAGGTGTGAGGGTAGTTCGAGACTGGTGTGCTCCCAACTCGAAGAGAGTATGGAACCGCGTGGGAGCTGGCGGTGGTAGAGCCGGTGTGGTGGAAGGACGGCCTCCTGGTCGCTGGACTATCCTCTCTAAATGACTCTGGAAATCAAGATTTATATAGAGATGTATCATAGTGTTTTTTTTTTCTCGTTTTGTTATTTATCGGTTACAGTGAATAAATTAATATTAATAATATAACACCGTATTAAAATCAATAAAAAAAAACGAAATGAAAAATCAAATGAAACTGTTTAAAAAGCCTGTAAAATAAACTTCTCTACCTAGACGTGAACTTCGGGAAAAGAAAACTTGAATTTTTTGTAACTTTAATAAATGTAATTAAAGATTTTTTTCGTATTTGGAATTCATATTGACAAGATTGATCGAATCATTGAAGCTGAGTCTCGTCAAGTTTGTCGTCATTGTGCTTAAATTTACAAATGTAGTATTTGTAAGTTTCTGCCACATTTGTTTTCATAGACTTCAAAATGTATTATTTGTATATATATATATATTGGTAATGAATTCAACTCTTACCGATTCACAGTGATCCGTATCTAATATAAACACAGCACATCTATCGCACTTGAGCAACTCCCGCGCCTCCGTCATAATTTTCGTGACGAGACATTCCAAATTGCTCTGCTCCTCAAATATACTCCTCGCCAACGCCAACAAAATCTGGTTCCTTTTGTACTCGAGGATTGACGACTCAAACAATTGAGCGTTTTGAATACCAATACCGCAGAAGGTGAGATAGCGACGAAAAACTTCTACATCCCGAGTCGAAAACTCTTTAGAGCCTGATGGAAGATAAAAACTCCTTAGAAACATTCCTCCCAAAAATAATAAAATATGTGTTTATCTTGTCGTTAAAAATGTTTTTATTTGACAAACATACATAAAATTATTGGCCAACTAAATAAACTGGCATGCTGAATATTCACTACCATTTGAGACCTGAAATAACAGGAATGATACCTGGGTGAAAAAAAAAAAGAAATTATATTGAGCCCGTCAGTCAGATAATGGAATAAATTAAGAAGTGACGTAAGTAATAGACACTGAAGTACAGGAGCAAGGTCTCACTCTGTCACAAGCATGTGGAAAATTTATAAAGTTGTAACGTCTTGGAACATTTTAACTCAACTTATCACCGATATTTATTGATATTAAAAAATATACGTCTTTAATATTTTTCGGATTTATTGATTCCTAATAAATATTTTCTTTTGTATTTTTTAAAATTTAATGTAAATGTAAAAAAATATCATAAATTTACAACGCTTTAATATCAGTAATTATATTTATAACTTATTAGATATTGAGATGCAATAGAAAATAGTTTAAAACATGTTTGTTTGGTTACAATTTCACTATAGCAAAGTTACGGAGTACCCGATGTAGTGAGGCGAGACTGTAAATAACAGCTTTTAGGTCAAACAAACAGATGCTGTTTGTTGAATAACATGGATATATTCTCAATTATTATAATGTTACTAATATATGATCGAAACAAAATAAGTCAAAACATAATATTCCATAGTAACTACATTTATGTCGGAACATGTTCCGTGGTTCTGACATCTTCAACAACCATTCTCGTTCACCAGCGGGCTAGAAGTCGACGGTGAACGTAGGCGAGTACCTTTTTGTAGCTTTTGCATCTTTTCACTACAAAAAAAATTCCTTTTTAAGACCTCGATATTATCGTAACATTTTTTACCATAAGTATTTAGTCAAAGTGAATCTTTTTTTTCTTGGACGTCGGAGAAATGCTTTAAGTACAACCCCAGTCGCTCGCCAGGCGGCAGGGGGGTGTGTGACTAATCTGTCACCGTAGGCACTATAAAAAACCCCCACGGTGTACCCTCTGCTGGGAACGAGACCTGAGAAGTCGTGATAGAATCGCCAGGATAAATCGACGTGAACTAGCACCAGAAATATTATGACTACTACTCACCATCAGTTTTATTGATGATCTGTGCAACCCCTACCACTTCACCCTCGTAGTTACAAATGGGCATGCACAATATCAGCTCAGTCTTATAGCCCGTTCGTGCGTCGATTTCGCTGTTGAACCTGAAATTACAAACTAAAGGTTATTAAGACAGTATATTGATGGGATAACGGTTCTATAAACAAATGTTCCTGTTGGATCGTGTGATGATTTTATTAGATAACAAAAATATTGTATAATTTCGTTTATTGACGGCTGCTGCTATGATAAAGAAATGACGAGAATTACAAACGACAAAAGGGCTCATGTGCAAACCGTTGACGACTTCTTCTAATGTCCGTAAAAGAAAAATCTCTTTGTAATTTATATAAGGTTTTCACGTTTCTTTCATATTTCCAAACTACTTTCTAAACTCTAGAATAATGATGCTTCATGTGATGAAGAAGAATGAATTCATTACCATTTAAGTATCCAACAGTTACTAGAAACCTAAGACTTTAATAATGCTTGTCATTTCCATGAGAAATGTTTTAATTTGGCTACAAATTTTAAAAGAAACGAAAGCTCTTTTATCAATTCCACTTTCTTTTCATCTAATCTAAGGAACGGTTCAAAGATATATAGTAAGACTTGGTTCGAACCGTAATCTTGATAACTTGCTAATAAATATTTAACTTTTATCATTCTGCTTACCTAGGGTCGGCGTAAGCATTCTTTATATTGATGGGGTGTTTAGTCTGTGCTGCAAGACCAGCCACGCCTACCCCGAAGGGTATCTTTATCTCCTGTGACCTTGCTGTTTGTAACGCCTCTTTCAGTTCTGTACGGACATAATAAGATCATATTTATAATATTACACTAATTCGCGCTACTCAGATCTCAGGGTTAATAGCGAATGACCTTGGGTTATGTCCACCTAACAATTCAAAACAACAAAGGGATCGCTATCATCTAGAGTTACCAACCAAGATAATACACAATATCGTGGATAGCGACACAAAATCATGAAGAGCATCTTTTAGTTAGTCAAAGAGGGCCTATTTTTTAGACACTTGATGGCGTAATCTACCGTATTCGATTTCGGGGATAAAAAGAACTTTCATTATCATATTTCAAATGGATACCCAAAAATTTTATTATAGAGCAATGTGTGACATGGATGCTCAACCTTTTGTATACTTTTCAATATGCGCTAAACTGTTGTGACGAACCGTTCCAGTAATTCTTACGTATTTTAATTTTATTTTGGAACGCCTAGATACTAAACTGTTGTTAACAACTGATGTTAACAAATAATAAAGCACCGATATCACCATAGTGTGTATATCTCAATACCATCACAATACAGACCTACTCGAAGTATAAAATGAATACAACATATTTCTTTTAAATCGAACGTGGCGAATTTTTAGGTGAGTTAATAAATAGGATTCGTTATAATTTTATCGTAGCAAATTACAAAAATGAGATTGATTTTGTTGACACTATACAAACATATTCTTAATTGAAGAATGTAAAATTACAGCTATTCAATCATATCTATATGAAATTATTAACTAAAGATAGAAAAATTCAATAGACCTACGTATATTTCCATGGTAATAAGTGCCTATTATTAATATTACAGCTTTCTTTCTTCAGATATTAAGCGTGGGCGTGTTAGACATAGCTGTATGTAAGAACAAGTCAGAGATGGGTAGTAACAAGTTTAAGTGAGGGTAATAATGAGTGGGTGCCCCACCGTCAAGGTAAAACATAAATTAGACTTGCAGATAAATATGTAGGCGTAAACAGACATACTTAATTTGTTATTATAAAATCTTTGATATTGTTAAAGAGATAGGAGAATACTAAGGTCAAGTAAATGATAAGAAAATTATTATCTTGTACTTTATCGTGCTTTTAAAGGCCCATTAATTCAATAACTCCCATTAATCCTCTGCCAACCCAAGTTGTGTCATTGGAAAATCTATACGTCGACAGAGAGTATAATCATATACTGTTAATGGCAACATGGAGCAACTCAATGAAATCAAATAGCCTCCAAATTATTTCCACCCTAAAAAAGAGGAACTTATTTACGTATAGATATATAAGGTTACATAAACGTAGAAACATGAATCAAAGTAATTGGCTCAATAAAAAAGATACCAAGAGTATCTTTATAAAAGCATGTATGAACAAGGCATTGGACTTTACATGTCTTAAATTTTCGGGATAACTGTAACTTTTCTTATAGCTCTAGCCGTAGCTCTTCTTATCTCTTTATCTCGCTCGTTTAATTTACTTCTGTATCATCACTCGATAGGAATCAATTATATCGCGTTTGTCTTGGCCTTCCTTGATTTCTATATCTTTCAGTTATTAAGTTGTAAATAGGTTTTGTAACTCTTTCTTCTGGTATTCTTATCTCATGTAAGTAAGTATTGCTTATAGGCCAAAATTCCACATATAAATAAATAAATTTATTTATTTTACTATCCTGGTCGTAGTGTGTTTAATCTCGTAACATACGGAAAGTATGGAGGAGTCGTGGGAGGCAGATGTTCTAATTTCATTCGTGCCCTTGTTATAAATTACAATACTTCCTAGTTATTCCACAATTGAGTGCAAACCCTTATAACAACAGATGGTGTTAGCTCAGCAGCATTCTAATATAATATATTAGACACATCATTCTTAGGATACGAATTCCCTTATCTCAAAATTGAGATGTACATATAATATTGTGTGGAGAAGAAACTAATATATCTACTAATTGAGAACTTTAAGCAATAGCGTGAAAAATTTCCGCAAAAGTGTAACATTGGTAATTAATAAAGAAGCCATACAAAATAATGATCGGGGTGCCAATTGTAATATGTGTACATTCACTTCCGAGTGATACAACTAGATGAACGAAGGTGTGATTTGTTTGTTGTGGTAGAAACAGTTTATTCAGTAGTTAAACTAACACGAGACATACGAGTCGTTCAATCACGCAACTTGTCAATAATAATGAAGCAAGTTTTGAAAGACTTGTTGGGTAATATCGATTAATGTCAGAAAAGACAAATTATGCTCTGCTTCTCATTTATGTAGGAAACGAAAACTGAAACTCACTCTGAAATTTATACGATACGTAGTTGAATTATGCCATACATATTCTATTAAAATTAGAAAGAACATTGAGAACCTTTATTTATTCTTCAGTTTTATAAAATGTATTGCTTTTGTGGAACAATATCTATGTATATGTTTACGGCAATGATGACTGCTCTCAAAAATTTTGGTATGACTGGTCATGGCGCATTATTTCTATCTTACTTTCTTCGCTCTTCTCACTTTTCTCTTTACCTACTAATTAATCTATCGATTTCCATAAGAGTGCACCACTAAAGGAATATGCTGAATTGCTGATGTGTTCTCGGGGAAAATTTCCAATTCCAAATTCATCTATTGACTCTAAAAGTAATATGCTAAAAATGAACAGCACAAAATTATGAACCTATATTGTTCCTTACTTTAATCGTATAGTGTGTTTATTGTATATTACATTAAGTCCAAGCTGACGGTTAACAGTTCAATTAATCTCCCTCTTTCATTAGTTCACGAAGTCCGCTTTTTATCTTAATTAGTGTTCCAGTTGTTAATTACTCAGTTTTTAGTGCTATTAGGATTTACGACTGTGTCTCTTAATAAATATAGATCGTTTCTATTGACATTGTTAACGACTGAGTATTCTGTTATTATTTGCCACTGCCTATTTTACTACTAGCTTTCCGCCAGTGGCTTTGCCTGCGTGGTACTATATTATGAAAATTCTATATAAATTTCACCCCTTTAAGGGAAATATTGGAATTTCTAAAAATCTTTTCTTAATTCACCTTAACATCATGAAAGGAACCCCTCTGCCATATTTCAGGTACAGTTGTTTTGACTGTGCGTAAATAAATAGTCAGTCGGATTTTTATATACATAAATGATGTTTCATATCTTGCAACTATTCTTCTTGGATTCTAATAAAAGTGAATCTATGAGGCTTATTTTAAACTGCAACTAAACAAACTGGCAGTTTTCAGCTAAGCTCTTGCAATAAGTTTTGTATTGATTATGGTTCTTGCCACTTTTAAAAGAATTGCGACCTACGGAAGGAGTGATATTTAATGTTTTCAAAATCACTTCGGTTTCCATTTCATGTTCAAAATTGATTAATGAACATTAACATAATAATTATCTATTGTGAAGTTAGAATGAATGGCGGTAATATGAATGACGAAAATCGAAGTAAAAAAATTATTTTGAGAACTCTCGTCTCAGCTGCTTGAAATGAGATTCGAATAATGTATCATTATGAATGCAAAATTTAATAATAAGAAATGATATTTCAATTTGCAAAGAATCAACGTACAGAAAAATCGCTAATATAAAATGAAGAAGAAAGTAATCAAATAAAGAATGCCATTCCAAACACAAAATACTAAAATTCCATCTTTAATTATCTAATACCTTTAAACTAGCTTTAAACTGATACCTTTAAAATTTTATATATATAAAGGTAATATGATTGGGATTTCGGAAAAGGCTTCAAGGATTTTCATGAAATTTGGTATGCAGGGGGTATTAGGGGCGAAAACTCGATCTAGCTAGGTTTTATTAAAAAAAAGTCCAAAGATCCCTTATTTTTTAATGCTTAAATATCATTAGAACACGAAGGTAAATTTCGCCGCTATAAACATAATCGTAAAATCTGAGTTGGGATATGGTGAGATTCTAAAACAAAGATGCACCAGTTTAAGTCCGGCCTCCGCTTATAATTTTCTTTTTTTTTAAACAAAAAATACTGATCTTTAAAAAACATGTATTGGAAACTGCTCACTGGGACTAACTTACTACCATACGAACTTAAATTGAAAAAAACGGCAGGACCTGAAACTATAAATCGCAGGTTTTAGTCCGACTTGTGACTGATCGCTATACTACACGATTTAAATGGAAAATATGGAAATAAAGAGTTATTGCCTAATTTACACGATAGTAGTCGTAGTAGTCCTACTATCCAATTCTCCATATAGACTATAATCTTTGTATGCAATGGTGTAAAATTCATTGTAACAAGTCTCTGCAATCACCATTAAACAAGGCAAAAATTGTTAGTGATGAACAATCAGCCAAAGTACGTACAGCCTTAGACTCATTAATCCCTTATCCCTTTCCTTTTGGACTAATGCTATAATGTTGGGTTCGAAATTTCTAAAATCAATATTACACTAGTACAGCACAATATAATGTAGTATGGAAGGAAGTATTAGGTTTACATCTGATTTCATAATATACCTAACTAGCTGACCCGGCAAACGTGGTTTTGTCATATAAATTTGCGGTGGACTATCCGTATCAATTAGAATATAAAAAAATAAACAAATCTTATTCTCAGACCTACTGAATATCAATACATATAAAATTTTATCTCGAAAAACGGAACATAAAGGGATAAAAATGGAAGTGGAAGTTTGAATAGGTAATTAATACGTTACCATTATTATTATAACCATTGTTTATTATTAAATTTTTCGTTATAATTATATCCGTATCAAATCAATAACTAATTTTAACTTTTAAGTTATGTAAAAGAAAACGTTAGATTTAGCTAATGCCACTAGATGACGCTACTGTATTTATATTTTTTATTTTGTAGTTCTTGTTTTTTCCGATTTTTATTATAGTCACTTCCGTTTCCGAATTTTGCCGTATTTATAAAAAACGTCGCGAATATTTATTGAGTGCAAAAATAAAATGTTACATTCAGCTCATCTAGATAGATGACGCTACTCTAATTGA